ATGGACGGACGGATGCTTCGCCCCAATATCCATCATTCACTCCGTGGATATGCTGCCATTTTTCTAGTCGCAATCTTCTTGAGAGTGAACACGGGAACGCGTGGCTTTCGGAGCTCCGAGCGCCGTCAAGCGGCGGCACCCAGAAGCATCGCCCATGCGCAGTCCGGCCGGGCTGTGAAGATGATATACCGTTGCGCGCATTGCGTCAGCCGAGCTAGCGCTTGTCGTCTGCTGCACGGCAGAAGGAAAGCCGGGTGCTTTAACGTGGCAAGACTGTTGAACGTCCAATTATGCTCCACCTGACTAAAGAATGAACTTATTTTTCCAAGATCATCGTTGATTTGTCGCTGGCCTCTTTACCCGACGTGCATTCTGCGTTCTAGCATGACCTGTCACCGGAGCACACTGCAGAAGTTATTGAACCAGCACACAGAAAATCTCCGGATCGCGGTGCTCTTCTGGCAAGCTTGAGCATTTGTGGGAATGTACGGCAATACACATGAAATAGGCTACGGTGCGGCCCTCTGTTTACGCGGCGACTGCGGAGAAACTAAAGGTACGGCAAGAGTGGCAAAATCGTTACTTTGTGCTCAGCGCTGTACCCCTCACAAGCTTCCAGAATGGCAGCAGTGCTCTTATTTTGCAAGGGAGAACATGACAAAATACTAATGTGACATCGGGGTACGCTCTTCCAGATTACTCATGCAACTTGATTGACCAAGTTCATCTTTCGTGGAACGTATACCAAATAACAGTTCGGGTGTTTGGGTTCCTTTATCTGTTCGCTGTGCGGCGACTAGAACGCAGAAAAAAGACGAAAACCAAGTGACGCGGCCGATTGAAATGAAAGCTTCTAATCTTTACTTGCCATAATAATACGGTGCCCCGCCGCGCTGGTCTAGTGGCTAAGGTACTCGGCTGCTGACCCGCGGGATCCAATCCCGGCTGCGGCAGCTGCATTTCCGATGGAGGCGGAAATGTTGTAGGCCCGTGTGCTTAGATTTGGGTGAACGTTAAAGAACCCCAGGTGGTGGAAATTTCCGGAGCCCTCCACTACGGTGTCTCTCATAATCATATGGTGGTTTTGAGATTTAAACCCCACATATCAATCAATCAATCAGTCAATCAATCATAATAATACGGTCACCAAGGATGCCCAAAATCAGTTAGCAGACGACACACGAGCTGAGCGGTGACGTGATGCGCACGAAGGGACGCGACCCTCCTCACGCATGCGCGCAAATATATGTGACGTGTCACTTAGCGGCGCTTGTAGTACCGCAAGCCACGCACCCCTGTGTTAACTCTCAGAAAGATTGCGACTGCATGTACGGCGGTTAAATTTGTACAATAACATCATCGCTTACACCGCATTTGAGCGTTTGATGGCCTCCGGAAAAGACCTTGATTCGGTACAAGGGTAAAACTGCAGCGCCGAGTACAAGGGCAGAAAAAAAGAGGCAGAGAAATACGCGCGTGTTTCTGCGCCCTTGCATATTGTGCTAATTTGCAGTGTAATTGTTAACAGCCAACCTGCGGAAGCTTCCCTTTGCTAGGATTGAAAACGTAATCACAAAAAAAAAGGGGGGGGGGTGGCACAAGGCTACTAGGTGTGGTGATAAAAGCATATATTTTTTTTACCAAGCAAATCATTTAGTGAGTGATAGAAAGAGGGCCCGGATGCTTTAACGAACAGATTGCGTTGAGCTCATGTTTGACTGATGGCGAGCGATCACTGAGCAGGCAAAAGAAATAGCCCTGACCGAGCTGTTTTGTCGTGGTCCTGACATGTTTTATTCTCGCGATCATACAAGGTGCGCCAGGAAACTCTAGCAAAAGTTTCGCAGTACCCGTGGTAGAATACTCGCCTGCCTGACCCCCCCCCCCCCCCATCTTTTCACAGTTTTCATTTCACGATTATTCTATTCATTTTGCTTATTTGATTTGGTAGCCATGCAATACTCCGGGGCAGCAGGTAGGGCATATATTTTTTCACATTTATTCATTTATAATTATTTTGACCACACAGCCCTTTATGTACTGTATAGGCACAATAGGCCCTGTAGCTGTACATTTAGCTGAAAACCGGAAATTGCTGGGTGACCGTGTCAAATGGCTCATTAAACGCAGTTATGACCTGTATGTCGTACAAACTATTTTACATAAGACATATAAGAGATTCCATCCTGGGCTGTTAAGTAGATGTTTTCTTGTTTTTGTATATTGCGACGTGATGTAATAATGCCGCGAAAGATCGTACGCACGAACCCAATTATCTTTATGCGTGTGCGCCTACCTTAACACTGTTCGTTTAGTTAATCCTTAAAGATCCAAATATTAACAGCCCATTATGGCGGCACAGAAACCCATCCGCAAAACAGGCTACGTACCGGGTGTTCAAAATTAAGCTTTATGATTTTTTTAAAATTAGGCGCTCGAAGGCACGTGAGAACCACTTGTGCAAATAAGTTAAGCGGCCAGGGGGACAGAAAGTTAGATGATAATTATCGCTGTCAGCAGCCCAATTAACTAAAATTTAATAATTAACTTTTTACTGGCTGCGGTAAGTTGGCATGTTTATATTGAAAAAATGTAGGCAGTGGTGTTTGTACACAGTTTCAGTTGGAAGATTTTTTCTAGCACGCCTGTGTTCTGAGATATCCGGCTCCAAAGTTTAATTGTCTTTCGCACGATTACGCATGCAAGAGGGTGAGGGTCCGCGCAAAGCTCCTCCCTAAAGTGACGCATCTGTTGCGTGTGGTGTTTAGTGTGTGAAGAGGGTGGAAGCGTAGGCATAGGTGATAGCAATTACCCTTGCCCTCTTCGGCCGGCGAAATCAAAATGTGACAGCGCGGTGCGCCATGAGCCTTACGCATGATCCTGATGAACGCGATAACAGGAGACCATTTTTCGCGACGTTTTTTCGTGACTTTAGATCACACTGAGACATCTTCTTGTGAACGCGTTAGCAGGACCGTCCTGCACTAGGGTGCCTCCGGTTAGAGCACAGCGTCTCTGCATTGAAGGTCTACCAAGGAAATCCACGTGGAGTCCTTTCGAGCTAATATGGCTGCTTCTGGCGTGAGGTATTCTACCAAAGTAAAAGTAGACGTGGTGCTTGCAATGGCTGAAATGAATGGCAACGCTTCGTTAGCAATGGAGCTTTACGCGTCTCGCCACCCACACCGTCCCCTTCCAACAAGGCCCACTTTCACAAACCTGTTTCGACGCTTCTGCACAACAGGCTCTGTCCACCTTCCGAGACGGACCAGGAAGGCAATCGTCGATGAAGACTTTGAAATCGACGTTGTCGCGTGCGTAACCTCGATGCCAGAGCTCAGCATCCGACAGATTGCCGATCAGTGCGGTCGCAGCATCGGAACAGTCACAAATGTTTTAAGAAAGCACAAGTTCCATCCATATCACGTTTACCTTCATCAGGACCTAAATGAGGCGGACTTTGAAAGGCGAGTTGACTTCTGCAATTGGGGCCTCATCAAAACTGATCAAGAAAATGACTTTTTGCACAGAATAATTTGGACTGATGAAGCTCGGTTTTGCCGAAATGGAAGTGTTAATCTTCACAACGCCCATTATTGGGCACAAGAAAACCCACACTGGCTGAGGCAGCACAAGCATCAAGTTCGCTGGAGTGTGAATGTGTGGTGCGGCATACTCGGGGACAGGATCATCGGACCTCACTTTTTTGAGGACAACTTGAACGGAAAGATGTACACAGAAGAAATATTAGGTGTTGTCATTGATGATCTTGTCTGCAGTCTTTCCCTGAATGACCTGCGCCAAGTATGGTTTCAGCACGATGGAGCACCACCACATTTTTCTACCAGGGCGAAGAACTGGTTGGACAGACGTTTTCCACAACAGTGGATTGGGCGCGCAGGAGCGATGTTTTGGCCACCAAGATCACCTGACCTTTCTCCGCTCGACTTTTTCCTTTGGGGCTACGTTAAAGATCGAGTTTACGTAACAGAGCCCAGCGATGTTAATGACATGAAGGACAGGATAACATCTGCCTGTGCGAGTATTCCTGCAGAAGTACTGCGCCGAGTCATCGAGTCGACGCGACAGCGGTTCATGCTTTGCGTTGCTGCCGAAGGCAGGCATTTTGAACACTTTTTGGGGCATTGACGTCTTGAGAGGTGAAGAGTTTCGATGAGATTTGTGCATGACCGAAATATGCTTATGTAGCAGCAGGAAATATGCGTTAGCAAGGATAAAACTGTTTCAGTTATTATTGGTGGAGTTGTTGCTCTTGTTTCAATAAAAGTTACAGTACTCGGACATCAGCAGTCACGCTATTCGCGTAGCCCAGGCAACGACCACGCATGCTTCTCTAGTGATTATTACGCACGCGCACTGGCATCCAGATTCTCCGCTCGCACCATTATCTCGGCATGGTATCTGCCACTATCGTTAGAGGCTCTGCAGTTGCGTGTTACGACACTGGTTGCAAGCGTTCTTCGATTTTTGATTTCGACGGCCGAAGAGGGCAAGGGTAATTGCTATCACCTATGCCTACGCTTCCACCCTCTTCACACACTAAACACCACACGCAACAGATGCGTCACTTTAGGGAGGAGCTTTGCGCGGACCCTCACCCTCTTGCATGCGTAATCGTGCGAAAGACAATTAAACTTTGGAGCCGGATATCTCGGAACACAGGCGTGCTAGAAAAAATCTTCCAACTGAAACTGTGTACAAACACCACTGCCTACATTTTTTCAATATAAACATGCCAACTTACCGCAGCCAGTAAAAAGTTAATTATTAAATTTTAGTTAATTGGGCTGCTGACAGCGATAATTATCATCTAACTTTCTGTCCCCCTGGCCGCTTAACTTATTTGCACAAGTGGTTCTCACGTGCCTTCGAGCGCCTAATTTTAAAAAAATCATAAAGCTTAATTTTGAACACCCGGTATATTATAGACCTGAAAAAAAAAATGCACGGCGTCAAGTGAAGATACTTGGAGTACTCACTGTGCGTCCGAGAAGGTGGGTGCAGAGGGCGCCCTGGTCGCTCCGAAGCGTGCTCCGAAGGCGCTCTGCACCGCCAGGAGTCGCCTGACGCGCTTGGCGGCCCATGACGCGCTGGGAACCTGCAGCGGCGTTGACGCAGCACGCGTACGCCGAGACATTTTTTTGGGTGATTAACGTCGCGTCGTACACCACCAGGACGACGACGGGAGCAGAAGACGCATCAGTCGTAACTACATAGCACAGCGAGCTTCCAACAACTACACATTTCTCGGCCAAACCTTGACGATGACAAGTCGCGCCACTTCAAATGCGTTGGAAAACGTTCGGCGTGCCGCACACACTTCTCGGTCGGTGACGAACATATTCGCTCATTTCACGTGGTCGAACGACACTTTCAACTCGCATGCTAGCTTCTCTGGCCGCAACCTGCCATAGACGGGGCAGCGTTGACGTCTCGTTGTGGCTCGCAACATCCGGTGAACTTCCAACACCTACTGTCACGACCTGCTTCTTGCAGATTAGTAGCTAGTGACTTTAACCACGGTGGCCAGTGGACAAGCTCGCATTTGAAGCTACGGGCGGCGACGGCGCGACTGACGAATGACGTGGGCGCGCATCGTTGGGCTGTTGCGCAGGCACTCGTCGGGGGGGGGGGGGGGGGGGGGGGGTTACAAACAACAGTTTATCGGAATCTGATTGTTACGGGCGCTCCAGCGCGTGCAATATGAGAAGGATGAGAGAGAGGGAGAACCGTGACGCTTTTGTTTGCGCCTCCTCTCGGCGGTCGCCGCCGTTCATTCGAGCGTTGAGGTCGCTCTCCGCCGGCTCGTGGCGCGATTTGCCGCCTCGCGTTCTAGCGGGGGGAGCCGCCGAGACGTCGACGGGATGCGTCCTGCTTCCGTTCGGAACGGGCCGCCGCCGGCTTTGCCTCGCAGGGGTTTGTTTCTTAGTCGCTGCTGCCGGCCGGACGTTGTCGTGCCGAGCTGGCGCAGCTGCGGCCCCGTTCGAAGTATTCGTGTGAGACTCGGCTGGCCTCGATTTCGCTTTGTTTTTTCATACTTTGGTTCTTTTTTTTTTCTCGCTCAGCAGTGCGGTCGCGGTGCAAATGCGCGCGAATTCTTTGTTCTTCTTTTGTTCCTTTCGGTGTTCAAAACAGAAAAAGAGCATCAAAAACATTAAAAACGAAGAGGATATGGGATGGGGGTCGCGAACGAGGACCTGGTGGCCACGAGTGAAGAGTATAGAGGAAACTGGAACAGGTGGGGAGGTAAGGGGCCTTGTTGTTGTTGTTGGAGGTAGGCGACCTCTTGTTGTTTTGGGGCAGGTAGATCCCACAAAAAGCGCGTCTGTACAATCTAGTTCAGTGCACGCTATAGATAAGGAAGGAAAGATCGTAGCCCCATTTAGAAATGTCTCGAAACCAAGGTGAGTCAGTCGAAGGCTGGCTCACGGATTCGTTTCAACTGTACTATCGGTATATTTGATGAACTGTACTATCGGTATATTTGATAGTACAGTCAAAAGTATACTATCGCCCTCAACTAGGCGCGTAGCCAGAAATTTTTTTAGGGGCGAAGCTCCTTAGGGCGTGGGCTGTGTGTCCCCTGTAGCCTGTATGTAGCCACCTCTAGTTTAGTTCTTGCAGTGTTCACTAGATAGCGGTACGGTCCCCTGTATGTAGCCACCTCTAGTTTAGTTCTTGCAGTGTTCACTAGATGGCGGTACCGTCTCCTGTATGTAGCCACCTCTCGTTTAGTTCTTGTAGTGTTTATTAGATGGTGGTACTTGTAGCTGATGATGAAAAGATGCAAGATGTTATAAACTAGAAAGCGGTACTTGCAGTTGATGAAAGACGCGAGATCTTATAAAATAGGAATGATGTCACATATGGCGCGTGTCAGTGGTTGAAGGCAATCGTTCGATTTAGTGCGGCGACGTACGCTAGGGGGAGCGATGTAATAAAATCGAGTGGGCAAAATGTACAGAGGATTCATGGTTTACCAGGTTTACCTCCGGAGCTTCGCCCACTCATCATCATTCACTTCGTGGATATGGCGGAATTTTTTTTTCGGGCCTTCTAGTGGCCTTTTTCGAGTTTACAGATTGAAACACCACAACGCGGGACGCTTGCAGTTTTCCGCAGAATATTACGGACCATGCCAGCGCTTGGCGGAATTTGCGTATGCTGAAACTGCAGTGCATATGTTGTAAATACTGTGAATCAGTCGTAAAGGAGCAGATGCACTATGTTGCTGTGCGATTACTTGGCGATCGCGTCTTTTGCAGCAGCTGTTTCCATTGGACAAAGAGGTGTTGCTATATGATGTCGCAGGGCCACTTTCGGTCGAGTTCGATCCCGTTGATAATTCTTGACGATCATTTTTTTTTGTGTGTGTGTTCAGTTGGCGCAAACACGAACGCGAGATGCCATGTTGATTACAGGTTCGATCGTAAATAGACGTGCGAATATCAGAAATACTGTAAGATTTACATAACGCCGCTTGATACACGCGCTATGTGATGGAATAACTACATTTTAGGAGCATCAGCGTAAAATCAAGGCACGTGAATATGAGCCGAGTAATTAACTTTTACTATAGCATTGTGAAAAAGAACTAGAAAGGAAGAAAAAAAAAACACGCCGGCGGAGAGCAACTTTCCCGACTAGCGACGGAGCCCAAGATGGCGTACCTTGGCACAACTCTGCTACCTAACGGTAGTGTACACTGTAACGCTGTTTCGACACGTACTGAGTATTTTATTGTGGCCGACTGTACAATATAAGACAACGTCTCAAGTTCATGTAATTGGAGTACTTTAAACTAGAAGATTTACTTCAGAGCCAGCAATAACGTATTTACTCGATTATACGCGACCACAATTGTAAGGCGAGGGGTGATTTATCATTGCACCTAGGGAAAAAAATAAATGAAATTTCGGTATTTGTAACGCGAGGATCGACTTTAGGCATGAAAAATGTGGAAGAGAAACTCGTTACGTTCGAGTAAATACGGTACCTTCAGCGGCCAGATTCGTCGCGACTTGATGCGATTAAGTGAGACTTGTTTTTGGGCGAGTTCGTTAACATCAAAGGGGTCACGTAATAGCGCGAACTTGGGACGTGCAAAATCGAGCGAAAGAGGGGGAGCAGAAAGATCGGGCGCTACACCAGCGCCTTCTTGATATTTACAATGCCAGCCATGGATGCACCCCTTACAGCCGTTCACCACTCTCTCCTCTAGCCCTTTCCTACTCTCGCCCTTCGTCTAGCCTTCGCGCGTGCTTTGTGGTCGTGGGAAAGAGAACCCGAAAACAATATCAAGTAATTTTTTTGTTCAGTTCTGTACAGATCCGCGGGGTGGCGTCTTGGATTCCTCGTGTTCGTAATGTTGGCGGTCACGTTGGCTCTGTAAACGATGCAGTGTTTAGAGATAGGGTTTAGGGTATCGCTGTTCGGGGCGCTATGCGGGCAACCAATGGAAGGGCATCCCTGCGATGCTTATATACTGCATGCGCTGACTTCAGGAGCGCTGTTATGGGGTGGCAGCATCGGTTCTATAGTCATCAAAGAAGGAGCATGAAGTAACAAACCTGACAGACGTATGATGTTAGCAAACACGCCTATCGCATCTCCGAGGGAAATCTTTCGGACGCACGTGTGACGCAAACAGCGCTGCCTAGAGTGACTGTATACTGTTACCTTTAGGTACACCATATACAGTTACGTTTGTGCTGCCCATCTTGTAGCGTCGCATCACCACCACTCCCTGAACTATAAGGCAAACCGACGGCTCCCCTTGAGAAGCGTTTGTTTGCACTGACGTTGAAAGAAATAATGGAGGCGTTGGCTAAACTTTAACTGTTTATTGTGAAGGACAAGCCACCAGATTGTACCCATCTGCGCATTCGTGCATCAGTACCGGCACACTGTCGTCGCGCTCGCATATCAAAGAGCCGCATCCAATTTTGGAAAAAAAGTGAAACAGACGTGTCACTGATGCAACACGTGCCTCTCTGTTTAGGGGCGAAGCTCCCTGTCCATCCTTGTGTGTATGTATGTGATAGTACGTAGCCACCGGTGGCACATACCCGCTCTAGAGCGGATAGGTGCCACAGGGGATGCGAGATGGGAGATGGCGGTACTTGGAGTGTTCACTAGGTGGACGGACGGTCAGACAGACTAGCAGACGGACGAACGAATGAATAGATGTACGGACGGATGAACGCACGAACAGACAGACAGGTGGATGGACGCGTACTCACGGACGGACGCATGGACAGAAGGATGGACGCATGGATGATCGCGCGGACGGACGGGCTGACGGACGCTTCGCCTCACTCATCATCATTCACTCCGTGGATATGCTGTGATTTTTTTAATGTGAAACGCCTCCGATAACTCTCGCGGTGACGTGTAGTTGCTCGTGCCTATTATCTATAATCTCACAAAGCTGAGGCTCACACCTGCAGGCTAGACAATGCTCAGGTATGTGCACATTTCCTTTACTGTTTAAAGATAGCTCGTGCTCCTGAGCTAGGTCGTTGAGACAACGGCCGGTTTGGCCCACGAACGTACTCCCACAAGACAGTGATATTTCGTGTACAACACCACTCGTGGCGCATCTCGCATAACCTCTGGTGTGCTTCTTCTGGCGTCCGAGCTTTTTTTGTGAAGCGGAAATCGAACAGCTTTCCATTTTCGTGAGTGGGATATTTGTAATGATGCTCTGCGGCGTGACAAATATCGGCTGAGTCATCGCTCGTGTGTGTGCATATCCCGCTCCTGTCTCCTCGCTGTTCTTCCGTTACAATGCTTGCAAGCCAACTATAGCCCACCGACAAGTACAGACGACATTGACGGCGATTGATTGATTGATTTGTGGGGTTTAACGTCCCAAAACCACCATATGATTATGAGAGACGCCGTAGTGGAGGGCTCCGGAGATTTCGACCACCCGGGGTTCTTAAACGTGTGCCCAAATCTGAGCACGACATTGACGGCGAGAAAGGACGCGCTACGTTGTCTTTGGACTCACAACAGTAATAATGATAATGCCTGGGATTTTGCGTCCCAAAACCACGATATGACTACGAGACACGCCGTAGTGGGGGGCTCCGGAAATTTTGATTATTTGGTGTTCTTTAACGTGTACTGACAATGCACACTACACAGGTTTCTACCATTTCGCCTCCATTGAAACGCGACCGCAGTGACCGGTATCGAACCCGCTACCTTCTGTTCACCAGTCGAGCACCCACTGTTCAGTCGAGGCGGACTATATTAATTGAATTCAAAATGGTTTAGGAGCCCTTAAACGAAAAATCGGCAGAAAAAAAAGGTACAGTTATAAAAATGATAGCGCAAATTGATGTCGTGTATGGTTGGCGCTATTAAAATAAGGCTTTATACGCGTCAGATCTCGACGCACAGCAGGGAGCAGCTGGAGGTGAAAGAGCGTCAAAGGAATAGAGTGCGTGCTTTGTTGGCACATAGAACACGAGTACGACGGCAACATCGTAAATGATCGATGACATGGCTCGCCTCTGAGTCACGTTTAAATATATACACACACGGACGCCATCAGGCTCAACTTGGGCTGCGCGCCGGCCCTCGAGTATACAGAAGCTAAACGACTAACGACGCAAGGCAATGCATTGAGCCGTATCTTTGCATCTAGCCACAACTTTGTGTTGCAGGTTGGTCTTATCACGCGTGACCCAGTCGAACAATCGATGCTGAAAAAAAAAAAAAAGTAGAGCACCGTGTCAGTCGTTCATTCACTTGTTTGGTTGCAGTGATTCTGCGCGTATTTGTTGGCTTCTCTGAATGCGCAGATAATTCGGAATAGTTCTACGCGGGTTGCGTCACGAAAACGAAACTTTGTTCGCGAAATGTGTTCCGTAGTCAGTCTCTGAGGTTTGTCCTTGAGAAACGTACTCCGTGATTGGTGGTTTCCTTTTTTTTTTCTTTATTTCCGGTTAAACTTTACAAACGGGTTGCTAAGATAAATATATTACAATACACAACGACCGATACGAAAAATTTTAAAGTAACTAAGGCCGTCAAGCATTGCTATAACACATCACGTCCTAGAATTCCTTCATGGCCAGTAGGGCTTCTACGCTTTCGACTCATAAAGGTACACATTCGTCTCAGTTCTGACTACCTCGAGAAATCTTGAGATACTTTCTTTAAAACACTCTCTTGCTGATCTCCTGTCAGGGTCACAGTGAAATACAGCCATTCTAGAGCGCCTTATACTTTGCAAGGCAGTCATCATGATAAAATCGAAAGGTAATCCATCCTCATTCTCTATTGCCGAATACCGGATCCCATGAGGGTCTAACGGGAACTCTTTCTATAATTGACCTTTGTAATACGTCCCAAAAGTAAACTCCTTCCCAGCAGTGCAGGAAAACGTGGTCAATAGTTTCCGTTTTTTTTTTTTTTTGTTACAGATTAGACAGTGAGATTCCCAAGGCATATAAAATCCACGCTTCTTGAGGAAAATTCTCACAGGAAGTGTTCTCTACGCTCTAAAGTTTCGCGTCGTCCCATTGGTATGACATGACGACATGAAAGACGCGGATTCGACCGCGGCCGTCACGTTTTGATGGAGGTGAAACGCTATAAAAGGCCTGTGTAGCTGTACGATCTCAGTGCGCATCAAAAACGCCAGGTGGTGTGTCAGTCTTCTTTCTCTCTTTTTTTTTCATTTGTCTGTATTCTTTGTAAAAACACAAATTATCCGTAACAAAATTTGCGTGTATGTATATTTAAAAGGCTCGCTTCAACAAAAGCTTGAGTGAAATCCATCTAGTTAGACATGTCGATGACAGGCTAAAAGTGGGATGATATGCGCTTGCTGCGGCATGTACTACGTAAGGTGCAAGCCATATTGTAAACCCAATTAATGAGACTTGTAGCAGAAACACATGTGCAGAAGCGTGCAGGTGGTTTAGTACAAATTACACTGCGCTATATGTGCACGCAAATTACAAATTATTGGCAGCTATATACTAAGTCAAAATGAATGCATAATCACTTACCAAATTGCACATGCGCGTGCCAGAATTATAGATGCGGTGCTATTTCTTTAGGTCCTTTTCAACTCTCATTGAAAAGTCTGTTCAATGCAGATTAGTGTCGTGCATTATTATTGCAAAAATCTACTTGCTATAGTGGACTGATACAATTACTACTGTTTTAAAAATTTACCTCGAAATTCATCGCAGACGGGACGTCCCATAGAAGGGGTTCGGGAGCCTGGGATCTGTCGGAGTCAAAAAAGTCGTTCGGAGTGCCGCTATAGCTTGCGATAGCAGGATGCTACAGGCAGCAGTCAAGGTCGGATGAACAGCAAATTGCGTATTTGCAGCTTGGCAGCGTATCAGGGGGCATACGTTTACCGAACTATTTGGGGGGGGGGGGGGGGGGGGGGGCTCGCGGTGGCATGATTATGCACGCCTTCTACCACGCTGTCTCAGAGGGAGGGGAAAAGGGCGGGGGGAGGGGAAACGGGACACACGGACTTGTTGGTCTTTTCCAGGACATTTTGGGGAGTTAGCAGTGGTATGTTATTTATCGACCAATCAGGTGGTCCGAAGTCTTAATGGCTGCGTACTGAGGATAGTGGGGCTACAGTGCTATAATAAGGCTGAAGCTCTTGGGCGTAAGGGGTTGGATACGGGGGGGGGGGACGTTTAGGGGGGGATACGCTATTTCTGCAGTCCGCTATTTATGCGACTATTGTTGGGCGCTGTGGTGGTTTGGTTGTGTTGGTTGTACGATAGAAATAATTTGTACCGCAAGGACTACGCATACAAAAGAAGAAACGGTACGACATAAGATCGCTATAGCAACAAAGATTTATAGAACGCCGCGTATGTTTATTCTGTGATCTTCGCCGTCGCAAATGTGCGCGTTGCATTTAAAAAAAAAAGGCCCAATCGGTGTATCTGAAAGGTGTGCAGAAAGGGCATTCACAACCAAATGAAGTTATGTATTCAGAAGAAAAGATACCTTGGTCTAGGGGCTCGACTGCTGACCGCGGCGCAGGTCGCGGGATCGAATCCCGGCCCGTGGTGGCCGAGTTTCGGTGGAGGCAGAACGATAGTCTCGTGTACTCAAGTTCACGTGCAGAACTGAACTTTGATTGTGACTCAAGGGACTGTTGAAGAGAGCTCGCTGGTATAGATCCATTTTATACACAGCGCTTAAGGTACAAAAAAAAAAAAAAACACGAGACAACAACGAGGAAGCGCTGTGTACAGAAATGGTTTTCGGTTTATAATTAGCGTGATTACATTCGGTTTGGAAGTTATAGTTACCGGAATAGCATCCGCTTCACGAGTCGGCGTGACGTGGTTCGCGTGAAGAAGAAAAACATCACAGCATATCCACGGAGTAAATGATGATGAGTGGGGCGAAGCGTCCGCCAGCCCGTCCGTGCGACCATCCGTGCGTCCATCTGTCCATGCGTCCGTCCGTCCATCCATCCTTCTGTCTGTCTGTTCGTTTGTCCATCCGACCGTACGTCCGCGCGTCTATCCATCCTTCCGTCCGTCTGCTAGTCTGTCTGTCCGTCCATGCGTTTGTGCGTCCATCTAGTGAACACTCCAAGTACCGCCCTTTCCCATCTCGCATCCCCTGTGGCATCCCCTGTGCACACACACACACACACACACACACACACACACACACACACACACACACACACACACACACACACACACACACACACACACACATGCGCGCGCGCGCATCGAACGAAACAACGCACGCTTCATTCTACAAGGCTTTGCAGACGACGACGTCGCCATCTAGTGAACACTGCAAGAACTAAACTAGAGGTGGCTACATACAGGGGACGGTACCGCCATCTAGTGAACACTGCAAGAACTAAACTAGAGGTGGCTACATACAGGCTACAGGGGACGCACAGCCCACGCCCTAAGGCGCTTCGCCCCTAAAAATGGCGCTACTTTTCGTGAGCCTATAGCGGGAACCGGCGATGCTCAACTGGGTCCATGAGCTGGTGCCTCACTTATTCGACTGTCTTCGTCTAACCTCTTTCTTTCCGACACCGTTATCAAAGTGCGTGGCTGTTCCTCCATTTCGCCGCCGGGAAAATGCAGCCGCCGTTAACGGCAATCGAAACGATGCCCTCTATAGCATATCATGCATTCCAACTACACATGCCATCAAAGACTCCGAGACGCAACGCTGCAATACTGTTTCGGTTGCGGGTTGGTGTGGCCTTTAAGAACTCATTCAGTTAGCGCATTGGTATGGGTGACTCATTTAACTGTCATTACCGCAACTGAGTAGAAACTCTTGACTGCGTTCCATGCCACTGTCTCAACAGTGGCATGGAACAAGATCGCCGGACTCTCCAGTGTGCCTTGAGGAGACTGAATGGTTGTCCCTTTCCTTTAGAAAAGATGTTGGGTGCGTGGTCTCACAGTTTCAAACCAGGAAGCCACGGGAGCCCTTGTACAATTCTTGAAGGCAACATCACTGAGCGACCGCATATAATACTCTGCACTGCATGTGTATGGTGTGCAGTGTGCATTTCCTTATCTTTTTTTCTTTCACTCCCTTATCCCCCCCTCTCTACTGGACGTAGTCTGGTTATCCTCCCTGACATTTATGTTCCTTCTCTCTCTCTCTAGCTCCAACACTTCAGCAGCTAAGCGGTTGAAATAGTAAGGCGAGTAATGCGTTAGTCAAACCAGAGTCCCTCACATGTCAAACGAAATAATGTACTGCATGCGTATAATGGAATAAGGATTATAATTAGCAAACTAAATTACAACTAGCGAGGTTAGGAAAAAGTGCGTGCCACTCACCGTTTTCGGTGGGCGGGCCTCCGTCTCGACCGTTTCGCTGGTCACCGAGACACTGTCGGTTGCCTCGCCATCCACGCTGCAGTCGTCAGCCTGCGTAGAAGAAAAAAACACACACCAAAGAGCACTTCCGCGTTTCAGTTGAACGAGCGAGACGGAAACGACGGCTACTTCCGGCCCTGACTTCCTCGGCTTGTTTCCGTTTTCAGCGAGGTAAACACCACGAGTGCATGCAAATTCCTGTAACGCTGTTACATTGGCCGTGCTCCAGCAGAGCGGAATTTCCGTGGATGGCGAGCTCGAGGGGCGGGTTGAATAAGCTCCTTGCTTGCCTGCTTGAAAAAAAACTAAACTTTATTTCATCCGTAATTGGGAGGCAGATTGATGTGGACCGGAGGTGGCCGCCCCTCGCGATCACTAAGTGGACTCCGGATTACGTGAGCCTATTGGCGACCACCCCACTCTGTCGACCAGGGAAGGCCTTCTGGCTCGTCAGGTTGGAACAGCCGATCGGGAGGACTCTGGAGGCAGTGCTCCCGGGTGGCGTTTGGTTTAGAGGCGAGGTTCGGGGTTGATTTGTATGCTCGCACCATGCGGAAAATGTACGAAGACGTCTCTTCACAGTGCGCACACTTTCCTGTACAGGCACGATCGAAGAGTTTCAACACTTTAGAAACGGCAGCGTTTTGGTATTTGCATTTTTAAGACTCTTACATGGCTTACGATTAATAGTATGGCTGAATATGTCCCTCAAATTGAAACAGCGCCAAAACGGATCACTAGAAAAAGGGGGAAAAAAGCAACAGCGCTGACTTACAACAAAGTTACAACAACCGTTTCTTAATGACACAACTTTAATAAAAATCAACAGATAATAAAGCCAAGGAAGCTATAGGGGCGTCAATGTATTGTGGTAATATTTATATAGATGCGAAGAAAGTGAAGTGGACGAAAAGACAACTTGCCGGCGGCGGGGAGCGAACCTGCAACCTTCGGATTAGGCGCCCCATGCTTGAGCTGCGGCGGCGAGGTTTCCTGGTTTGCGTGTACACGTATACCCCGTAAAGTAGACGAGCCGGGGATGACCACTGCCTTAGCTCAGTTGGTGAGAACATCGAGCGTGTAATCCGTAGGCTGCAGGCCCCTTAGGCCCCTGACAGGGACCTAAGTCCCTGTCAGGGGCGTAAGCTGAATTTTTTTTCTTCTGCCTACGTAGAAAAGAAAAACAAAAAAGCCGGCAGAAGAATATCGACTTTGGACGACATTTGCAGCGAGGCACGCAAATACGCGGCCATTGTTTTTTTCTTTTTTTCTCTCACGATCGTACAAAAAACATTGGCGTGTATTCTATCTTGTTTTTTCGGAGTATATGTGCTGTTATTTAGAGCACCGTTATAACGCATCTAAACGACACGAAAGACCCCCGTTCTGGTATACAATGATTTCCCGAACATCTCTGGAAGTGGCGCTAGAGGGGGCGGCGCTTTTTTTCCTAAGCGTCCACAGCAAAAGCCAGTAAACGGGGTCCACGAAGCCCCAAACACAGTCCTTACAGAAACGCGCGGTTTTTTTTCCTCGAAACATATTTTGTCGCCCGAGGAACGTGCAAACAGAGACGGAACGACCAACTTCGCGAGGCGGAGAGAAAAAAAACTAAAAAAAGGAAAACAAAAAAAAAAGACAGAAAAAGTTATGCGGTTGCGTTTGCTCGCGCTCTTCTATAGACCTTGACGTCGGCGTGTTTTGACGTACGTTCGCAACGTTTCTTGTTCCTTCTACATTTTTTAAAGACTCGGCGTGCCCTTTTTAGGAGAGATGTCTAGCCGAGCAAGGTCAAAGAAGTGGCGCGCCTGGATACGTCGACGTCAAAGGACGGTCCACTGCATCCAAACGACAAATCTTATGTAGTCGGCATGACAAGTGAAACGAGAGTAACGCACCGGAATGTTAGCCAACGGTGTGTAACTAGGCCAGCTGCGCATAGTAACAGAAGTGGATTAAGACTTGCGTGTGGTCGGTTAGCGCAAGTCGCGAGCTTTCAGATGAGCCTCTTTATAAGCATTTTCTTTACAAGCGCAGTAAAAGACTTTTGTGCCTACTGAAAATCATTGCGCTAGTATTGTTCGTGAGAGACGACCCCACTTATTCTGTAATATTGCTTTAAGCGTAAGACGTCTACTACTCTTGCTGTGTGTGCTATATCCCATGCAATATTCCCATAAGGATCCGTGTAGATTAAATAGATTCACCTCTGGGCATTTGTGGATTTCGTAGTTAATTTATTTATTTATTTATTTATTCAGAATACTGTCAGTCCCGTGATTGGATTATTACAGGAGTGGTGTCACATTGCACATTGTTAAAACAAGCAATACATAGACTAAATATACATGTTGCAAGCACTTGAAACTTGAAGCGAATATCTCAAACATAGTGCGAAATTCGCCGAAGTGATATGCAAAGAGGAACAGCAAACGTGATTGGTTGTATTGGTAGCGCCACCTGGCAGCGTGGAGATCAACGATACTCTAGCTTAGCGACGTATTTAAAATCGATCGCATGTGATAGGTTACATTAACCTTTGATATATTGTATAGACAGTGTGTGTGTAACAACACAAATCGCACAGTATCTTTGGCTTCAATATTTTGTGTGGAGAAAAATGATCTTTCGCGTGCGAGCAAGTTCTAATTTCGCAATATTGAAAAAAAGCCACTCTTACCCCGAGAAGACGCTTGGTATAAAACACACACACACACACACACACACACACACACACACACACACACACACACACACACACACACACACACACACACACACACACACACACACACACACACACACACACACACACACACACACACACACACACACACACACACACACACACACACACACACACACAAAATGCGGGGATGGACGTCACCTTCGAATTCTCGCACCAAACACCGTGTCGTCATGAATTTCGAAGGCGCCTTACGGAATTCCTATTCTGTAAAAAGGGAGTACAATGTCCTCTGCGAGCGCCATAGACTAAAGGAAGCCATGACACTCTACAAGTGATTATGGTAATAAAAAGAAAAGCGCCGCCCGTAACTGTCTATCACTTGGATGACACCTCAACAGGTCGGCACAAGGAATAGGGTAGCGGGAGTAAAAGTGGATAGGTAGGGAAAAAGAAAAAAAAAAGAAAGGAAGAGAAGAAAAATGAAAAAGGTCGCATTCGATCCGCCTCACCAGCGCACCCCCGAAGAATCGGAACACACAACCAGTCAGCAAGGCAGCCGAGAAGACCGGGAGAAGAAGATCCGAGTTGGGAGAGGTGTGACGAGTTGTATAGGCGCGTTTTATGTTGGGTGAGCGTGAAGTGCTGGCCGGAGCTCGTAGCCACGGTTCACTAGAAATTAGGTCCGTTGAACTAACGAAGGAGAGTACGCTGGACCGTGGTGTGGTTAAAACAATTTTGGACAATGAGTTGGTATGAGTGAGAATTTATTAGAAGGCAGAGAGGTCGGCCTGAGCTCGTTCGCTCTAGTCTGCTACTCTACACAGGGGATAAGGGAAAGGAGAAGGAAAGAGGGATGAAGGGTGATGATGGGGACAAGAACCCTTCATCGTCTGTGTTATGCAGGTTAATTCTTATGCATTAATTGACAAATAAACTAGGAACATTTTAGCACATTTGGTGAAGCAATTAAGATATATAATTGAATATTTGAATATGACGGTTCGCATATTTGACTTCAATCGATTATGATATTGAAATTATCGGCATTACAGTTCTCGGAGGATAGTTTATCAATGTAAGGCTACTCGCTGTTTCACTTTGACGTCTCATAAAGAATGAAAAAAAAAAAAAACACTTCTGTATTCAGCGGCGCGTTTTCGCCAAAACAGGTTTTACAAAGAACCCGTGTAACCGCCGATGCATTTCGCACTCGATTGATTGATTGATTTGTGGGGTTTAACGTCCCAAAACCACCATTTGATTATGAGAGACGCCGTAGTGGAGGGCTCCGGAAATTTTGACCACCTGGGGTTCTTTAACGTGCACCCAAATCTGAGTACACGGGCCTCTAACATTTCCGCCTCCATCGGAAATGCAGCCGCCGCAGCCGGGAATCGAACCCGCGACCTGCGGGTCAGCAGCCGAGTACCTTAGCCACTAGACCACCGCGGCGGGGCATTTCGCACTCGAGCTATATCAACAACGCAATTTTTCCATAGAGCCGTCGATGCAGGGCCATGGAGTGCATGCGCTTCTCAGACTACAGCACAATTGGCTATTGTCTATTAGGGCATGACTCAACGCCGCCTACGCTGACGCAGCCATGCCGCGCAATCGCGCTGCAGAACGTTCCGAGCCGAGTCGTTCGTTGCTCAATTTGTTCCCTGTGACATTTTGCTTTTACGTTGTTCCTTTCATTACCTGCGCACATATCTTCTTCTATTATCATTAAAACGGAGCACTCTGTCAGAAACTGCGTCGAGTTTCAGAAGCCTTTACTGAGTCATCGTGAATACGTATTCGAAAATAAATATGGAGGCACGGGCTTTTATAGTTAGGTGAAACAGTGCCGCACACGCTTTTTTTTTGCGTTTTTTTATTTAACCGACCCGTTACAGATGTAGCACCTGCCTCGCGCAGACCCCGCCCGAATGTCTGGTAACCTTGCCGATTATTTTAGAACTTTACGGCAAGATTATGCGCATATCGCGAACAAGAGTCTCTCTCTCTCTCTCTCTCTCTCTCTCTCTCTCTCTCTCTCTCTCTCTCTCTATATATATATATATATATATATATATATATATATATATATATATATATATATATATATATATATATATATAATATATATATATATATATATATATATATATATATATATATATATATAATTTTACGCGTGACTTGCTTCGAGACGGATGTTGAGACATCTAAAGTTGGTGACGAATAAGCGAGTTGCAAAATCTATCTATCTATCTATCTATCTATCTATCTATCTATCTATCTATCTATCTATCTATCTATCTATCTATGTCTGTCTGTCTGTCTGTCTGTCTGTCTGTCTGTCTGTCTGTCTGTCTGTCTGTCTATCTATCTATCTATCTATCTATCTATCTATCTATCTATCTATCTATCTATCTATCTATCTATCTATCTATCTATCTATCTATCTATCTATCTATCTATCTATCTATCTATCTATCTATCTATCTATCTATCTATCTATCTATCTATCTATCTATCTATCTATCTATCTATCTATCTATCTATCTATCTATCTATCTATCTATCTAGTCTGTCTGTCTGTCTGTCTGTCTGTCTGTCTGTCTGTCTGTCTGTCTGTCTGTCTGTCTGTCTGTCTGTCTGTTCTGTCTTCCCGCGAGCGAGAAAATTCCCGTTGGAGTATTCTCATTCCGTTTGCAGTGTGTGCCACACATTCTCATACAAGAAAGGTATTTATTGTAATGAACACGTAAGTGTATGCGCTGTTTTTTCCGCAACAGCAGCTGTGGGGAATTCGCAGCTGTATAGACAAACATGACAAAGGTGTGGGTTAATGTCGTATATTTGTTGTGTTACGAGTTGTGGCTGCTACCGCTTCATAATCTGACGGTTCGTCAGGAAGACGTGCGCAACGGCGTTTAATTTCGTGGTGCGCATTTCGATGCTGTTAGTGTTGGGAAGGCTGCACTTGAGCACGTGCAAACGTCTCTGTCATCACCCTGGCTATGACTGCAGCAGGGCAAAGACCTCTTCCATGCTTCGTCGAGAAACCTGGTCTTGTGCTTACTGTTCCACGTTATCTCTTCGAACTACTTAATCTCATCTAGCCCGTGTAACTTGCTGCCTTCACCTCGAGCACTTGGTTTCTCTTAAAATCCAATCTGGTGCAGGGCCAGCGGCGACCTTGCCGATGCACTTCATGCCCATGCCCATTTATTCTTCTTGATTGCGAATAAGATGTCCTCAACACTCACTTTTCCACTCTGCTCTCTTTTTGTCCCTTAAAGGGCTAGAGACATTAATATTAAAATAAGGGCGGGGGGATCGATTCTTAAAAGATAGAAAAGAAGAAAAAAAATGAGCCCTCTAACTGTCTGCATCAAAGTGCGACACCTCAACAGTGGCTCACGAAAAAGGGGGGTAAGGAGGGATTAAAAGGATACGGAGGATTGAAAGGTACAGAGATAAAGAGAGGGGCAGGGGCAGAGATACCCACATACGGAATTAAGGAGAACATAGGAAAGATGGACACGGTCGCAGGAGTCCGAGGACGGTGCCCCACTGTCGCACAGAGCACCTGTTTACAGAGACGATTCTGAGCAAGTGTGGAGTTCTGGAAATATTTGAAGATATTTCATTTTGATATTCAAAGCCAATTTTTCTCTTAACAGACATACTGACACACATTCGGTGCAAGTAGTCTGACTTCCCGGCATGTCAGCACCGGCAAGATGCCTGTATACGCCGCGCTGGCGTAGTCGAGGAGGGGGAGGGTGTTTAAACCCCAACGCGCCCACCGAAATTTTCAACTTTTTCGTGTTGTCACCACCTTGCGCGTATGCATGCACCGTTGAAACGAAAGCAGAGGTGGGGGACTGCCTGTGCGGCGCGCCTTTTGACGCTCATCTCGCGTCCTTGATATCGCTCCGTCCGCATCGAACCCTGTCGCGCGTTATAGGCCCCGCTTTTGCCTTCGCCAAGCGTGAGACGCGCACGTGAAATTCTTTTCCTCGCTTCAGCGCGCTCCTTGCGAGCGGCAACCGCTGTGCGGGGGGGCATCAACGGCGTGACCTTGGAGACGTCGGGGGAGGGAGGGGGGCCGGGTGATGTTCTGCTCTTCTTCTTGTGTGTTTGCACGCCTTGTTTTTATAGAATAAATACGTACCAGCTAGCTCGGTCCTGTTATTGAAATATGAGGAGTATAGTCCGCAAAGTGAGCCATTGAACTATAGTCTGTCTTGCACGATTAAAATACGGTGCTGCAGTCACTGAGCGCTGCAGTCACTGAGCGCTGCAGTTACTGGGACAAACCAGGCTAGGGAGGACACACGTTACAAAGTATACACGACAGGTGCAATTTTACCATCTTTTGGGTCAGTCCTCTTTTGTGTCAACCTCTTTTGTCCCGATAACTATGGCGTAGAATTTCAATCAGTAGTATAGTAGTCGTCGTTTGAAGGAAAGACGCCTACTTCTGTAGCCCATTCATAGGAAAACGTGGCGACCCATCAGTGGTGCCTGGAAGGGAGTGGGAAGGAGAGCAGACAACACCGACCGCACCCGTGGCGGGGGTGTATAGTCGTTACGGTGCTTGAGTGCCAACCCGAAGGTCGCGCGATCGAATCCCCGCCGCGGCGGCCGCAATTCGATGAAGACAGAATGCTATATTGGCCCGTGTCCTACGATTTAGGTGCACGTTCTAGAACACTGGTTGGTCGAAATCTAAGGATCCCTTCACTATAAGGTGTCTCTCATAATCTCAACCGTGCTTTTCCCGACACCAAACAACGACCATTGTAATCCATTACAACACCAAACGCTCCAGGCCAGGGAACACCTGTTTTCCCGGTACCAAAAGGCAGTTAACGTTTAACGGCACCGGGAACCGTACCCAGTGCCTACAGCGTTGGAAGCGGCGGAGCAAATCAGGAGTCTCAAAAGACGTGGTCCGAGAAACCGTCGCTTTCGACCCCGCTCGCACATGGCTGTCCTCGTCCTATTCATTAAAAGCTTTTCAATAAGTATGTTGATAAGCTACGGAGACGTGATTGCCTCATTTCTGGTGAGGCATTCAGTGCCAGTGATCACCATGCGTTTAAACAGAACCTTATACGGTTATGTTTCTAGTTACTTCACAGTATACTTTCTGCTTTTTTTTGTTTTCCAGAAATATAGACTTCCTGGTTTCTGAAATTTCGGAAATAAACATCGATATCGTCAGAAGACTACATCACGCTGAAGAAGCGAGACAGACAGCGAGAAAGACGACGTGATTCTGGGATGTTGGGCGCGCACTCGGCGAAGTACACACAGAACACGTCGTCTAGTTTTCAACTAGCAATAGTCGCCCCTCAGTTATAGACTTCATTGGGTACGACACCGCCGCTGCGCAAAGCTTTGTCTTTTGGAGCTTCCATTTCTGGTTTCTCTAATGGCACAGTATGCGCGGCCGTCCGGGACTATATTGATGAAACTAATAGGTTGACTAATTAGCCAGTTTCATTATCTTAACATGTCCACATAATTATATACGTATAAAATCAGATTATTGGTCTATTCTAGGAATAAATTTGTTTATGTAAATATTTGTATGCATTAGATTGAGCACCACACTTGCCTATAGGCTATCGGTAATCTTTCTGTTATACCTCCATCATTCTAAATCTGAACAGTAAATTTTAAAGCCACTCGATTCTTGGCCAATCCCCCACAGTGGGTATGCGCCACTAACAATAGGAGAACAACAACAACAACAACAACAACGTCGTCTACCACGTTCTGCATGGGAGCTACGCCCACACATTCGTCGTGTACCGCGACGTCGCAGCTTCGTCGTCGTCGTCATGGGCCCCGACCACAGCCAGACCGACACAGAGCCACTCGATCCCGCCCTTGAGTGGGTCACACGATTTTGTGATCGCGAGTTTTTGATGGGCTTTCAAGGCGCAGGCTCCAAGCGTTGTCACCCCTGAAAAGACTAAGTGCCAGGCCGGGGGAGCGCTTGTGCCCGTTTTGCAAGACCGGTGGGTACCCGGTGGCAGCGGGTACCCAGCACCTTCCACCAACGTGTCACGAAGGGCACACAGAGAAACGAGGTGACAGTTGAGACATATTTGCTCGACGCCAAGCCTAAGCCGAGATGGCAGGCGAGAGCGCTCCCCACATCCCAGAATTACGTTGTCTTTCTCGCTGCCTGTCTTGCTTCGTCAGCGTGATGTAGTCTTGTAACAATACGTTTACGAAACCTGATGCTGAATTGCTTCAAGACCGACCCATATGAGATATTTTTTTATATGGCACCGATAGCTGACATTCAATGTCAGCTATCGGTGCCATATGAAGTTTAGCTCAAAATGTTCATCTTCTAATTAACGCTCAGTGGTGATGATTAGTGCGGGAAACTTGATGTGAAACACTAACACAGTTTCAAAAATGTATTTCTTTATTTCATAACCGCTTCAGTCATTTACAGAGAGGACATCAAGCATAATCCCATGCCTTATCTAGCCCAGAAAAATTTGACCTAGAATCGTGGCTAAGGATTCTTAAGGCTATTCTTAAGGCCAATAAAAATAAAGCCCCTCACTTTAAGAGAGAGATAGAGAGAGAAACTTTTAATGTAAAATAAAAAAAAAGAGAGTTTGGTTGCCGAATTACGACCACGCTACATGTCGACGTCCCCAGTTCGGGACTCCGCATGACGAGGCCCCAACTCGCGCCCGTCTCACCAGAGTCCGTTGAGACTCCAGCGAGGAGCAGTTAAGGAGGTAAGTCTCCCATAGGGAAGAGGGAAAAGGAGGCAAGTGGGGTCTTTAGCACATGCACACACACCATGTGGAAGATGTCACATGTATAGGCCTCCCCACGGTGTGGGCACCACTCATCCGTGTTCGGATCGAAGTGTTTGATAATTGCAGGACAGACTAGAGTACCTGTTTGCAGCCGCCCTAAAGTCCGCTCGTCCGCTTTGACTAAGCCCCTTTGCAGGAGCTGGGAAAAGAGGATGAGTGAAAAAGCCTACGGAGCCGTGTAATGAACTAACCGGCCGCGGCCGTAATTTGGATTTCTGTCTGCAGGTGCGTATTTCGGCCAGGATTCGGCTGAGAGTGATACACTACACGGCCTCAGCTGCGGCGAATACGCGAACAAACGCGGTAAAGGCGGCCTTCCGCACAATCACTCACCGCGTCGTCGCCAGGCGTCGTCGTCGTCGGTGGCGGCGCTAATACGCCTGTACCTGGATCCCAGGGCTCCTCGGTCGCCGGATCGTCGCCGTCTGCCTTGACGTCGTCTCGAAGAGAAGTTCGTCGCATGAGCGTCGCGACTCCGCCTCGAAGATAGGGCATCATACCGATTTCCCGAACTGTATAGTCTCGCTAACGTGCTCACACGTTAAGACGTTTTGTCTGTCGTCCAAATCAGCTCCAAAGCCACTGGTACGCCGCTTGCGGTTAACAACACATATGTCGCGCTGAGTCACGTGGCGTGTTTTTTTTTCCTCTGCTGCTTCTTTTTTTTTTTTTTCAAAAAGCGCGTTGCGACTGCGTTTCAAGCAGATGCTCGCAGCTGTTTTGTCCTCCTCTTCCATTTATTTGTTTCCCTTGATCGCGCGCTTAGCTCTATTTGTATCTTGTGTTTCGTTTCTCGGGACTTATTTTTCAGTGTCTTATTATGTCTGTGTGTGTCGTCCGACAAAAAAAAAAAAAAAGGCTGATTCCTATATATATGCAAAAGAAGGGACGTTGCATCGTGGATGTGTTTTCGAAGCAGTGACCCGGTGATAATCACATTTCCAGTAGCTGTATTTCCGCCGTCGTCCCATATATTATCGTACGTTCTTGATTTTTTTCCTGTTCGCCTGTTTTTCCGTTTCATCCGGAAACAAATGCCGCAATACTGCAATCGACTAATTATTTCGGGGTAATTTAAAGGGACGCTGTGTAGAGAAAAGCGATTTTCTCGCATTAGTAAAATACTCTTCCACGGTACCAAAAATGCAACGCTTGCAGCGAGAAAACGCACAGAAAGAGAATGCCAGTGGCGCCGCCACATTCAGGTTCCCGCACCAGTTGCCGTGACGTCATTGATTTAGACGGCCTCTACCGGGCTCTGTACGTAGTTCCCAATTGGTAAAGATGAAGTACATTGCCTTAAGTGTTAGCCAGGGGCTTGATATTCTAAGTCGCGGGCTATTTCGTTGACGCTGACGCAATGCGGCCAAAATACGAAAAACCCTCTTTGAAATTTGTGACGTCACTATGGTTTTTTCGGCGGAAACTTTACGATTGTGGCCTTTTACATTTAATTTTAACGTCTGTTCATGTTGGTGAAATGAACGACACTAGATAACGGTGATTACATTCTGAATGCTACTATGAAAACTCTAATTTCTGATTTCCCTCTAGCAAACATTTAATTGGTGCGTCTGACACTCTCGCTTTGTTTTGCAGGAAGTCTGGTGTCGCAACAAAACAGCACAGCGACACGAGACTAGCTCAGGAGCAGCGGCCTAAAGGGATCTCCCATAGTAGAGCTCTAGCATAGCACACTCCTTCATCATCTCTTCTAAGCACACAACGATTCTTATGCTGCTCTGTTTCACACACGAGGCGTAACACTGTATACAGAGGCGATGCAAGAAGTTCGGTCAGCAAAATGTGCCAGTCCGTGCGACTTGCACAGAAATGGGGAAAAAAACAGGAAAAGTAACGTAAAGAAAGGAATAATTACAGCACTGACAAACTCTATCGAATATCGCCATTCATTATATCCCTGACGAATAACCTTTTGCCAAACTCCTAAACAAGAAGTAGCTATCACAAGGCTGCGTTGCCGGGCACCAAATCTAAATTTCTACAAACACGGGTCTGCTCAATGCACCTTTGCCACTGTGCGCGTTCTGTGGTGAGGTGGCTGGAAACAATAGATCATTTCTTTTTGACCTGCAGGCGGTTTGACACAATACGAAAAAAACGTTTTAGAAATGCCTTTACTTGGTATGGGTATGGGTTTATCTGTGCCAGTCATTTTGTCTTTTGGAGCTTCCATTCCTGGGTTCTCCGGTGCGACAGTATGCGTGGCCGTCCAGGATTATATTAATGAAATAATAGGTTGACTAATTATTCTGTATTATTATCCCAGCGTTTCTGGAACATTGTATACGTGTAAAAATCAGAGTATTGCTCTAATTTAAGAGTAAATTCTTTTCTTTATCTATAGATAATTATATGCGTTAGATCAAGCAACATGATTTCCTACGTCATCGGTAATCTTTCTATTATGTAATGTCCATAATTCTAAAACAGCATAATACTTTATAAAACCACTCAATTCTTGGCCAATCCCCCACAGTGGGTATGCGCCTCAGACAATAGGTGAACAAGATCGAGGATGATCGATAAGCCTTCGGAACGACGTATTTTCCACGTTGACATGTTTTGTTGATTTCTAAGGCACAAAACACATCATTTGTGGCGCAGCCTAAAGACGAGACGAAATCACATTATCGGTGCAAAAATTATCGAATTATTTTTAGTAATATTAATATCTGGGGTTTAACGTCCCAGAACCACGATGTGGTCGTGGGAGATGCCGTAGTGGAGGGCTCCGGAAATTTCGACCACCTGGGGTTCTTGAACGTGCACCTAAAATAAGTACAGGGGCTTCAAAAATTTTCGCCTCCATCGAAGTTTTCTTGTTTCTGGGTGCGAACGCATCTACGACAAGAAGTCTCCACATCGTTGCGTACATTGGTCGGCAAAAAATTGGAGATCGCTGAGACTCGCCCGAGAAATATATTTTGCTCAGATGACTCACTGGAGTCTGGGACTCAGACTCGCCAATATTTTCCTCAACCGCGGACACACTGTGACAGCCCGTATTCACAAACCAACGTCAACCTTTCCTGGAGTTTCCCTTATCGGCTTTAAACTTTTATTGCGCATGATAAACAAATTGGACCAGTATTCATAAACCAGTCTTGTCCTTATCTTTCGCTCTGTTGCCATTTTTGTGCCTTTGTAACGCATGTGGAGAGTACAGGAAGTTGAGGAAAACGTGAGGTAAGGCCGAGGTTAGTTTGTGAATACGTGCCTTAGACTCGCGAAAAACTTTTTTCAACCGGACTGAATCGTACTCCAACTCCTCAACAGACTCCTCAGCTGGACGCACTCGAACTCACGGCTTGACCTCAATGTGAGTGAGCATGAGTGAGTTGACTCATGAGTTCGTTAGCAAAAACCTTCATCGCTCACGGTGTCAATGCTCTCTGATGCCAATATATCAGAATCGGCGCACTATACGCCTTTTAATTTAATCTTGTGTCTTCACTTGCGAGTTATCAGTGGTTTTAACGCAGTAATGGCCAGTTTTATGGAATACCCGACTCATACGAGCAACGTTTATCAAGAACTTCCCGTGAAACGCATGGCAGAAGCAGGTTATGGCGTCCCCCCCCTCCCACCGCCCTGACTCACGCCTCTGCTATACTGACGTGGTTGCTAAAATTTCTCGTTCTCAATAAAGTTTATTCCTCCCCCTTCTCGCTTTAATTATGCTTTGTTTTGGTCTCGTTTTTCATGTAGTGCGTGTTTCACTTCTGAATTTATTGTCTTACGACATAATAAATTGGACATCGCACATGTGCACCGCTACGCAACGGTGGTGGATAAGGCTACGAAAATTCGGACAGAACACTTTGCACGAGTGTGGTTGTGAGCAACATGAAAAGTAATGTGAAATTTGTGCTTAGGCAATCATTGCTCGTGATGGGTGCGTGTGACTATGCCGTACTGACATGCGAGAGCTACATTTCCGTTTCAGCATTTAGTGTTCACTTCTGCGCTTGGTTTCCTAAACACACGCGCGCACGCACGACACAGAAAGAGAGAGATCGGCATTTAATGCAGACAATGTCGTTCTAAAACAACGGTTAGACCGAACAACATCACACTTTGTTCTCCCGTGCATAGTACAAGGAGGAGGTCCTATGGAGCAATCTTGTGCTGGCAGTACGCACTTCAGTACGGTATGTACGACTTCGTTGCAGAACGTTAAGTTTTCGCGCCTTTCTCAGCCACCGCTCGCCGCCGTGTCGGATGACCCGGGAACTACAATAATTACACATACGCGCTTTCGTATTTGGCGCGCGATTAGCGACATCTAGGGAGGCGTTTGTTAGATACCGCTCGTTTGGTTCGACAAAACGACGATAGGTAGAAGCACTAAGTGTAAGCGCATGTATGATCCAATTCTATTTCGTTTTAATTCCATCCCCTCTATCGCCTGTACCCTGCATATAGAAATAATTTAGTTGTGCAGCACTTCAGGGCGCCAGGCTGTAGTATGCTGTCGTTGTCGTCTGGCGTAACGCCGGCAAAAACACATATATCATAGCCATCCTATTTCTCTTGTTATTTGATGTCCTTGATGATGATTTTAACGCGGCTTCTTCTTCTTGTTCTACGGACGCCTTGATGATGATATGGAGTACGGACACTACTACTGTAGCAAGGTAAACACGACAAAATAGTCCACGCATAAAAATTTAAATAGGAAGTAAGCGAGCAATATGAAGACAAAGAAAAAAAATGAGCAAAACTACAAATTAATATGAAAAAAGGAAAACACCAGAAAGAAAACTGAAAAAAGAGAAAGAAAGGGAGAGAGAAGGAGAGAAAGATATCTGAAGGGAAATTATGAAGGCTAGCCAGCTCTGCACCATTCGTCGGGCTTGGCACCACTAGGACGAAGCCGCACTATTTTTTTTTAATAGAAGGATAAGCGATAATACTCAAAAGAGGGAGCCGTATATCAGAAGACCCTACAAGAGAGGTTCAGGGCTCAATACTTTGCAAGAGATTCAGATTAACCTAGATACAAAAGCTATTTCAATGATGCTCATTAATTCTTTTCGAGAAAGGGTACGCAGTTGGTGCATTGCTTAGTCAGGCAGGGTGGCCCATAAACAGGCTATTTTCCCGAATAAATGAAAAAAGTTGTAACATACTTGCGCTGGAAAAAGCATAAGAAAAATATGCATTGAACCTCTGTTCTGTCCTGTTTCTTATTTCTGCTTAAACATGATGATCGCTATCGAATAGCAGTAAGAATAATGATTAGGGTCGTAGTACAATCGTGGTATCAAAAAAAAAAAATCGCATGAAGCGACAATAATGTGAGAGATCAAGTAATCTCTAACAGCTTGCAATGTCATTGTGAATTTCATGAAATAGATTTGCAATTCTGAGAAGTGTAGTCGAGACGAGTTTTAGTGTCATTAAATGAAATATAAAACGAGAGTACTATCCTGAATATGACCATGATTGAGCTTAGACAGAATTGCGTTTCGTTGGTTGTTTCAAATGATCACTGAAGTAATAAATAAATAAATAAATAAATAAATAAATAAATAAATAA